GTACAGAGTAGTTATTAATGCGTGGTGTATACACGTATTTATACGGTATCTGGTCAACTCGGACCCTAGTTAAATCGGACCCTAGTCAACTGGGATCCTAGTCAACTTGGACCCTAGTTAACAGAGGAAATACAATGATCAAGTAATTTGGTGACCTAAGTAAAATATTCAATGAGTGGGGAATTTGAAATACATTTTGATTTAATAATTCAAAGAATTACAAATACAAGTTACAAAATTATCAAATATGGTGTTATCATTTGATTTGAAACTTAAATCTTTTACTTTCATTAAGAAATTCCTTAAAAATCATGGGCTTTCAATTTATTAAACATGTTTACCCCTTTTAATTGGTTTGAAGAATTGAGGTCAATAACATTTAATTCATGTTGTGGATTTCTAATTTATTGTCACATACTATTTGTTTGTTAGAGAAATTAACTGGTTTCATGTAAAATCAAACTCTTGATTATTAAATATCTATTCCTACCGGTATACAGTATGCTATGATTTCACAATCAGGCTGAATGGTTTATGATTGACTCAAAAGTGTCAGAATTATTTTTCACCATTATCAACCATTGTTTTATTTAACAATTATATATGATTAATGTTGTTTTTATATATACCTTATCATTTTAATGCTCAAACTAAGGAAAAGTACAAAAAAATACATAGGTCCAAGTTGACTAGGGTCCGAGTTGACTAGGGACCGAGTTAACTAGGGTCCAAGTTGACTAGGGTCCGAGTTAACTAGGGTCCGAGTTGACTATGAACCATTTATACTGAGATTACTTACATGTAAATAAGACTGATTTTTATAAGCTTAATGTATAAGAATAAGACTGGTGTTTTTTTATTGATGACAGTATACCCGGGCCTCAGATTTTAACAAACAGAGTTTTTGGACAGTGCCCCCAAATTGCGCGTGTCTTTTCATGCAAAGTGAAATGGTTCTGTTCAGACGATATGCTCCTGTTAAATGCTGGATACAATTTTTGGGTTCGGCAGCTAAAAATGTACTTTAAAATATGAGAAATATTTCTAAAATGCCCCGGCCGGTGTATTATTTGTCGAAAGGAAAGCTATCTACTTATTTAGTTTTGACTTTATAGTACAATCTTTGGGTATAGCAGCTAGGAATATACTTGAAAATATGAGAAATATTTTTAAAATGTCTCACTCGATGTATAGTATTTGCCCAAGATAACGTTTTCTACTTATTTATCTTATAGATTTCTTCTACTTAGTAATGGGTAGAAACCAGTAGCGGGAATTTCTAAAAGTTTTATGGTTGAAAGCCTTTTTCAAATTGGTAAAAAATAATGAAAAATAAATTATTCTATATAAAATTCGTATGAAAATTAAAACTTACTGATTGTTCGGCTCTCCCATATTTCTGTTTTGTTATTACCTTTAAGCTCAGCTCCTATACAGACCAAGTCGTATTAATTGATTTCCTTTAGTTTCTTATAGTTGAAACCTAAATGGTTTTTAATATAAAACGATTGATCAATATTTAAATGGTCTTGCTGCAGAAAACACTCAGTGCGGATATGAGCGCGAGCAATGCGGAATCAATGTTATAAAATTGCTTCTGGCGCCAAATCTACAATGGTTCAGGGTTCAAAGGTTCTGACAAAGGTTGGACCAAAGTAGAAATGTACATTAGTTTCACATTCGCACGCATCTCACTAGCAAAACTAATTCTAATCAATTGAATTTCACAGAAAATATTCCAATTGACAAAGCACTGCAAAATTATCCATTACGAATACAAGAAATTGGTAGAAATACTTGCACCATTGGTATAGGTCTATATTTGGAGTTGGTATGCTTCCAAGGAATTATTTTGGAATCTAATTGCTTTGGTGCAATCTAAGGATTTTTTGTACCTATAATCAGTTAATATATTGCACCATTTTTTTTATTTTGCATTGGAAGGTTAAATCAGATCTTTTTGGGTGATGACATTACAAGCAACACCATGTACTATGGTAGTTCCATACTTCTGGAAAAATAATAGTGTGTAGTTTGGGGATTTTTAGAAAATAGACTTGAAAAGGAATGACATAAGCCAGAAATATTCTAAAATTGAAACAAGTTTTTGTGTGGCTGCTCATAATGATACGGGGTGCCACATAGCACATCCTGCAAAAATGTCATGAGGGTTATTTCTAATAAAGAATGCGGGATACGGGATGCAACATAGCACACCTTGCAACCCTGAGGGTTATTTCTAATAAAGAATGCGGGATACGGGATGCAACATAGCACATCTTGCAACCCCGAGGGTTATTTCTAACACTGACAAGTTAATGTTGAAATTAAATAAATATAAAAAGTCATCTCTTAGGCAACTCATCCCCTGGACAACTCATCCCCTAGACAATTCATCCCCTGGTCAACTCATCCCCTAGACAACTCATCCCCTGGACAACTCATCCCCTAGACAACTCAACTCATCCCCTAGACAACATAATCCCTCAAGCAATCTTTGAACTATTGGGATTAAAGTATATTTGAATATCAAGTATGAAATATGATAATATGTAACAAACAATTCTCAAATTGATTGGCTGACTAATTTCTTCCCAATATTGTAGTTTTATAACAATTTTATATGCAAGCGTAGTTTGATACCTGTTGTCTGTCAAACGACTTATGTTGGTAATACATTGAACACAAAGCTAACGCCCAAAGGTGTTGTCCATTCAAGCCATAACAAATCCCTCATTGTGTAGAATTTGTAAAAAACATTTTTTATAACTTAACTACCATTGATTGTAGGCGTTTCTTTTAGTGGTTTAAAAATAGAAAAACATGGATTCTGATTCGTAAAAAACAACGAAGTAAACGTAAAGGAATGATAAAATACTCGGTCAGTCATATGTTGGATTGTGGCTAATTATTTAAGATCTAATCTAAATAGGAGCATATGTTAGGCACGTTAGTACTATCTCAAGGATAGGATCGCGTGCTGTTTGTGAATGAATCGGGGTATTTTTTCATGCATTTCGCTTGTGTTTTTCATCTAAAAACATAAATACACTTCAAAACATATAATTGACTATAAGATTGCAGCATATAATCCCAAAAAATATTTCTCACTTTCGAGGATTATCTCTGGATTAACACCCAGATATTGTTATTTTTCAAACTTCAGAGGGCTGGGAATCATTATTACGATCGCTTTTGAATAATATTAATGCTGTTTTAAATAGGTTTCATGTATGCCAATAATTTCTCAAATTGTGTAAATGGTACCCCCTTCCTTAATCCATAGAATTTTCACTTTGACGAATTTCCCATGAAATGAAATAAATGAGTAGTTACAAACTTGGCGCCAAAAGCACGTCGTCCACTTCCGTTTGTACGACGTGTTGAGAATGGGGCGTGTACATTGGTCCAATTATGTGCATTCAGTAGACAGTCCAGCCTTCGTTCAGTGAGTGAAGGTACGCAACGAACGAAATGAAATTTGAGCATGTTGACAGTCGAGATGTTAAAATCAGGTCTACCCGAGCTCTGGTAATATACATTACATACATAAATGACAAAGTTGAAACTAACATTTATATCAAAAACATTAATATGTAGTGAAGCACGAGCACGAGATTTATTAGTGTCGTTGTGTGTGTGGTAGCGTTATTTCATTTCTCATCAGGACGTGCTCAATTGTATAACTCTTCTCAATTTATCATAACAAACCAACCAACCAACCAACCAACCAACCAAACAACCAACCAACCAACCAACCAAACAACCAACCAACCAACCAAAAACAACAAACATACAAACAAACAAACAAATACTCGGTGTAAGTTTTTATCATGTATAAAATAATATTTTTGAATATAGTTATGTATATAGTCAAAGTATAAATTATAAATGTATATCTAATAAAACAAGTTGTATATTTATATCTATATAAAACAGACGTTGATGCCTCAAAACCAAGAATGCAACTGACTTACAAACACTGGCCCTGCCCCTTGCTTCAAATCTTAGTCACGTGACCCATTGGTCACTATTATTGGTGGAACTAAATCACCCCTCTGACCAATAGGAAGCAAGGAGCACTTGTACCAACTGCCTGTAATATTAAATGTTACATAAGATAAAAAGATGTCACTTTAGTCTAAAATGAAAGTAAAAATAAATGAGCGACATTTTACAAATTAGCCTTTTAGCATACGCCTGGCATTATAGCTAGCTGCCTATTTATATGTGAAATACATTTATAGAAAACATGTTTACTTATTTTTCAATATAAATGTGCAAAATATAGTCAATTGATGACATACGATTTCCTCCTTCGCGCACCTTCTTTCCCGGAAGTACGTATATTTGTACTTCCCTCCATCTTGGTTTTCAAAGTTTTCAAAAATGACCTAGTTTTAAACCAATCGACGATCGATTCGCTAAACCAATCAGCGACGATGTCATCTCAATACAGATTTACATTATAAGCGTATGTCATCTTTGAATCCTGGGGTTTCTCCCCCTCTTACTTGGGGCCGTTTGTCCTGAGTTAGTATGTATAAAGTAAGTGATCAGAGTTGACCAAGAGAAGCATTTGGTCTATATTCGACAATGTTTTGTGTCAGCCCTATGTCAGATATATTTTGATTTTTTTTCTTATTTCATCTGGAGCACATATTCCCAGATATATGAGGTGATACACAGGCACAAAAGTCTCCGTAACGAACCCTGCTGTGTAAGAGGAACCATTGTTAAAAACCATTTGATTTCGTCATATTCCACCTAAACTTAGTAAATAATCCTTGATATTTGAGGTGATACACAGGCACAAGTCTCCGTAACGAGCCCTTTAGTGTAAGAGGTACCATTGTTAAAAATTGTTTTATTCTTATTCCATCTCAACTTCCTGATATTTGAGGTGATACACAGACACAAGTCTCCGTAACGAACCCTGCAGTGTACACATTTCCTGATATACGAGGTGTTGCACTGGCTAATATGTCTGCACAAGGTACCATTGTTAAAAATGATTTGAATACTTCAATTTTTACCTTAATATCTAGGCCTTCATATATCCTTATCACAGTGACGCCCGGAAGAAATTAAATGCATTTTCCTTGGCTTCAAGAAGGTGATCCTCCTTTGTAGCAAATATGGAAATTGCAGTAAGCAATTTGCCGTTCTCCGTAGCTTGCGCTGCAAGGATAATTATTATAGCATCGTTGTTCTTGTTTAGGCAGTTTGCTCGAGATATCAACTCATCGACGGTGATTGTCAAATTGTTTGATTCGGTATACATCGATATCGGGAATCCCTTTTCTGCCATTCCATCCATCATAGACATATGTTGATTAGATCCCGAGACCCTTGGGTTTATGTCGATCAGGAATAGCTCTCCGTTACGTGTTTCCATCACGTCAAAACAAACGTACACAAGACAAAATCGTGTTGAATAACTTGCGATACCAATGTTACACCCATCTTACTCGGTGCTTAGTAGTCGCAATCCTTGATTATTGATACACTTATCTGGAAGGTTATTTGAGCTTACCCTTTGGTATTGATACACTTATCTGTGGTTTTTAGGCTCGAATACTGAGGTTTATTTTTTTAATTATCGAGTCTTATTCTATTGCATTAATATGTAGTTGACTTTGTACTTACAGGCGTGATATGATAGGTCTATTACATAAATAGTATATACAAATATCGTGATGATTAATAAATCTAGATGAAGACTAATCATTAAAATAAACTTAGACTACATTTAATATTTAAAGAAAAATAATTTGATAAATAAAGTATGCATGTATAAGTCTCTTAGTAAAAAAATTAAGGGAAACTGGTTCCATGATTTAACAGAGAACAACAAGGTACCGTGTTGTTGTTTATGATCCCGGGTTTACAATATTTATTGAGTTTGTAGATTAAATCTTCTTATTTAAGACAACATCGTCTTTATGATCTATTCAAGACATCAGTATTCTCAGAAATTGATTATCCGAAGCGGATACCAAGTTCTGACCTGCAGACGAACAATTGCAGACATGGTATAAGTTTGTTTATTTAACAGTTAGATTTGTTGACTTACTGAACTGTATTGCAATATCTAGGAAGATGTTATATTTATTTATCCTATACTTTGTATTTGCTTGCAATGTAATAAAGTTGATACTTTTATGGACAAAAATGTCCTTTTAATGGCCATTTTGTATGCCTTTTATTTCCACACCATGTTTTGATTTTGCCTTGATGCTATTGTGTCATAGTGTTTTTGCTTTAAAAAGTCAAGAAATATCAACTTTTTAATTAAGAAATGTTGGTAAATCTCTTGTTGTAAATCACATTGTTGATGATGTTAACGGACCATGAGATAACATATTGTCCGGGGAAAGATATCAATAATATAAAATGCGATGCATAACCAATAAAATAGAACCATGAAATAGAAGAAGAGAAAGAACCTTGTAGCTCAATTTTGAAGGAAGTTGCATCTTTTGGCCTGCTTTTGCCAAGATTGCACCCCTCTCCCGACTGAAAACCGAGATTGTTTTTCTTGGCGATCGTACTCCCCCCTGACTGAAAGTTGGCTATGCCCCTGAACATGGATAATAGGGGCACTATTATCCTGCGTAGAGAGTCTAGTTATAAACTATATAAGACGAAACTCTCTTTTTCATACACATGCCTGCATAACAATCAGAGACAGAAGTCTTAACATTGTCCAACAAAAATAATAAATAAGAATCTAACATTTAATGATAACAAAAGGATTAATTGCTATATAGTCTTTGTTTTTTAACTGCGGACGTGTACCAACATCACCTTGATTACAGAAAAGATTATCCAACAGTCTAGAATTGCTCCCGTGTTTTAATTACAGTTTGTGAATAGAGTTATTTTTGCCTCTACTCTCATTTTTGAACCGGTCTCTGTTTGCTTATTCATTATTTGTGATAAATTATTTCAGTTAGAGTCGAAATCAAACACCAAATAAACCGGATTAAAATAAGCCAGTCTGATTGCGAATTTGCAAATCCTGTAAAAGTAACTTAAAGCCGCCTTTTAATTAGAGAAAACAATAAGCTTATCCATCTGATTAAGAAGAAATCCATGCTATTTGATTTGTGCATTATCTTCAAGCAAGCCAGTAAGACAATCAACGATCTGGCATTTTGTTTAATCCCCGCCAGTTAAAATTCAATATTGACCAATGCATGACTTAATATTTTCATTCTACAAACATTGCAGTGTTTAAATGATTGTATAAACCACATTGTTACCATCTCCGATGCACCATCAGGCCTGTCTCTCTGCGCAAAATAAAGCATTCCGACCCAAAGTTGTATATCTGTAATTTTGGGGGGGGGAGGCGACGTCCATGTAGAAATATACAATAATTATGTCCGTGTAAAAGCTTAAATTATAAAAAATCTCATTTCAAAGTCATTCTATTCATGAAAGCGTCAAGTTATGAAAAACAATGCTAAACACTGAAATAAACAAATCGACTCGATTACTTTTAAAAACTTCCTGAGAGGAAATGGACAAATGTATTTTCCTAACTCATTAGAACGTCTGTCTGATTGAAATACTATTTTCTAAATACAAATATGAATGAATAAATCTTGGTTGCAAGAGCATAATAAAAAATTCAAATATTTTCTTTTGCAAATTCCTGAAGAAACTAAAGTATTACAGGTTTGGTTAGAATAAACTGCTTAAATTGTACATTTTAAAACTATAAGTGTGATTGGAAACCCGGGATTTGAAACAAGTTTGTATTGAAGGTCTGTTACAGAGGGGGCATACAATGTCCCATTTACTCACCCCTCATCTCCCGTACCCGATCTTATTTATGTCACCAGTTTGTTTTTTTGTATATTAATATTTGAAATCAAGTCATTAAGAATGCCAGGGGCCAGTTTGGGGGTTTGATTCTAGTTATTTTCCTTTAGTCATCGTCTGACTTATTTGAAAATATGGAAATTTGGAAGATATTTCAAATGGCAACATGGTGAAATTTTAGCACAATAGTACGAATCAATAGTTTAAAACAAAAGCATTTGGATATTGTAATTTAAAGCGTTTAAACTTTCATGAGATTATACTTTTGGTTCCCATGATTTGACATCTTTGATCACCTGCAGTTAAGTATCTAGAAAAGCATTGCTACTGTAATTAACTGTTAGAAGCAGACGATCTTTTTTCCGTCACACAATATACATATTCACAAAAGGCATTCCCAGCTAAATCACACGAATTGGCGTGATTGTGTAATTGATGTGTTATAATCTCTTTTTTATTGAATAAACCTTTAACTTTTCTTCAAACTTAACACATTGCCCTTTTTATATAACCAATATCCCCCGGAACCCCTCTCAATAAATACCCTGTATGATTAAATCGAGTTACAAGCCCTCCTGACAGTTGTCAAAGTGGATCATACAGGGTCTTGAATAACTAGTATGATTTACATGTAAAACAAAATGGTAATCACGCATTTGTTGGTGAATGCTCAAGATTTGCTGCACAATCATTCCCCGATTCAACAGTGGTGCAAAAAGCCATCCTTTGATCATTTGTTTAATCTAAAGTTCATGTAATGAGGATTAGAAAAATAATGAAGTCTTAAATAATAATCTCTGCTGAAAATGATACCATTATTCTTGCAAAATCAAACCCCGACTCGACATATTCTAGTGATGCAATGAACCACCTGCGATTTTAAACAAACGCCAAATCCCAACCGCCGAACGTTAACGCTCAATGCTGAATATTAACACATTAAAAAGTGACAAGAAACAAAAGGATTGTCTTCAAAATGCCAAACAGCCCCTGGAAACAGCCACATGTTTATTTCTATGCTACCGTATATCGATGGAAAATATGTTAAAACTAACTTTAAACAATATCAAGTTGGTCTATTTTAAAATTAATAATCTTGCATATAAGTGGCTTATCAGATCAATGATCAATCACTTATTCCATTTTAATCCTACAGGTCGGGAGGGAGCTGTGGGGGGTTACTATAATGAAATTTCTACATGCAAGGTCATTTTAACATGTGCAGATACATGTATGATTAATAAAGTCGATGCCATGGGATTTGTGATTGGGTTTTATCGAAAAGAATATCACCAAAATATTTTATCATCGTGTAGAAAGTCCAATCTAAAATCTGGTAAATGTGTTGCATTTATTGAAGCAATCACACTGTAATACCACTGTAAAACTATATTGCAAATGTTTGATATGAAATTCGATTGTCAAGAGTACGAAATACACACCAATACTTTTACATGATATCCAGTGTATTATAATAAGATGTTATATAAACAAAGTCAATTGAAAAACTTCAGTTTCAGTGAAACTAGTAGTAAAACTTCCTAAATCTGTTAAAGGGAAGCCCCGGGGAAGCCTTCATTCAAGCACTGGCGTTTAAGTTTATGTTTAAGAGGAAGAATTCAGTATCCCGTGTGTTCACTACCCCCTCCCATCCCCAATTATTTAACTACATGTATGCTCCAATGTGTTTCATTTCTGTGATTGATAAATGCAATCAATATGATAGCTCTATATTACTCAATTCTTAAGTCGCCAGGAGGCATTAATTAAAAGTGCCTCTTCGAATCTCAGCCTGAAAAACAATTCCTAGCCGATCTCCTGTAATCAAGTTAAACATTCCCAGTTATGAAAACAATTAAATTGATATCACTGATTGATTGGACAAGTATTGTCTCCAATTGTAATTCATACATGTGTATTGTATTGTGAAATCCTGGGGATATGCATTAATCTAGTTTTTTGAAGCTCCGGCCGCCGTACGACCCCCGTAGAGAAAATGTGCGCAAGGTTTAATTTTAATCTTATTGAATTATGTTAATTATTTGTAAGTTGCATGTTTTTTACTTGCTTAGTTTCCTGCTTGCTTTAATGGTCGTGTGCTTGCTTGGTTGCTTGCGCGGTTGGTTGCTGGGTTATTTATTTGAAACTTGTCTAAATATCCATAGGCTTAGCCAGGGGGGGGGGGTGTTGCGAATAAGAATAAGACCCTGAGAAAGAGGAGAAAAAGAACTTTAAAATGCTTTTTATTTTAAGCTTCTAGCTCAATTTGGAATGAAGTTGCATCTATTTTTGTAAAATTCAATATAAAAATCATTTTTGGCTGGTTTATGTCACAATCGCACCCCCGATTATGTCACAATCGCACCCCCCCCCCGACTGAAAACCGAAATCTTTTTGGCGATCGCACCCCCCCCCCCTGACTGAAAGCTGGCTACGCCCCTGATATCTGTTATTGGCCATCAATAAAACTATATTTATATTGTGAGCATTTATGGGTTTTATAACATGGCTTTATACACGTATAACCAGAACAACGGCAACGCCAAA